ATAAAGGAGACAGTCAGGGGAATGCTTTGCAGATTTGGTTTCCCCAGCAGAATGTACAAAATGGCTATGAAATACAGCTGGTTGCCCGATGATGCTATATATTTATTAATGCTAAAAATGAAGAACAAAATACAAACTCATTCAGCATGAACCGGTTTTGAGAGTCTCGTGTTTTATTTTGGGGAGGAGGAGAAGAGTGGGGAATGACTTTGCGAGCGGGTCCCCCAGCGCGGGTCCCCCTTCAAAAATCTGGAGAAATACCGGCCTAGAATATTTTTCTGTCGGCTCCAGCGTTTTGTCCGTGTCACTGTTCTGGCTAACATGAGCTCCACTTAAACAGGTGTGATTGTCGAGAACATTAAAACTGTCGGGCCTTTGTGACTCCCAGTCTGAAATGGGCTTTATGATACTTTGCCTCCTTGAGATGCCTCTTTTAAAGTTTGCCTGGATGGTTGAGGCCCCTGTATTCCATAAGGCAGCCCCCTCCCCATTTCTCTGTGCAGACTGGAGACGTGCGGGGCGGGAGGAAGGGAGGCTCGGATGGTAATGTGCCGCAACATTCCATACCTCTCCCCCTCGCCATTTGCATGGCTGGAATGTCACTCCATTTCCGGCAGTACAGCTGTTCCATTTCTGGATAATCCAAGCTTCATGCCCCCAGAATCCAGGCATGGGGACTGGGGAGTGGTGGGGGGTGCTAGGGAAGGTGATTTGTACACTCTCAGCTGGGGGCCAGGGGGGGACTCTGATGGATAGGGCTTGCTTGTAAAATCAGTTTTATCTTTTTATGATGTGCCTTACCGATATTTTAAAAAATAAATCTCAATCTTCACACGTTGCTTCTCTCATTCATTTGGCTGCGATATTTTAAAAAATAAATCTCAATCTTCAACACATGTTGCTTCTCTCATTCATTTGGCTGTGATCTCCCAGTTTCACTGGAAGGACAAACTGTGTTACTTCGGATTGTTATTGTTTGTTTTATGTTGGAGTTCCAAAAAAAAAAAAAAATTAAGGAAACTAAGCCAAGCTTTCCAAGAACATGTTGCTAGCACTCTGTATATGTCATGTTTCCAAATAAATGGTGGGTGTGTGTGGAATTGGTTACAAAGTCCGCCTTCCTGAAAAACTCATTCCCCCCCCCCAATCCGAATGCATGAAAGAGTTTTGCTGCCCTCCCCCAAGTTTCTAATTCTTATGGTCAGGGCTATTTTTGGGCAGGAACGCACAGCAACGGAGTTCCGGCTGGCTCCTGAGTTGGCCACGCCCAACAGGAACTAATTAGCATAATAGGCCACACCCAACAGCAGTGTTCCCTCTAAGCTGAGTTAGTGTGCGCTAGCTCACAGTTTTTTAGCCCCCGGCTCACACATTTTTGTTTTAGCTCAGGAAGGATGGCTCCAGAGCAAACTAATTTATGTACCGTAGTAGCCAAATCGCTCGCTCACAACTTTAATGCCGGTAGCTCACAAAGTAGAATTTTTGCTCAGAAGACTCCACAGCTTAGAGGGAACATTGCCCAACAGCAGAAAATCATTAGGATTGGCTACATTAGGGGTGTGTGGCCTAACATGCAAAGAAGTTCCTGCTACAAAAAAAGCCCTGGGTTTTGACA